TCTGTCCCTAAGGCTACCTTTTATGTCCTCTAGATTTTTTGTGTATGTGTGTTGAAATGAGGAGACAGTGGAGGTTAACCCTTTGATTCCCCCAAAATATCAACATAGTAATAAGTATAGACAATCTTGAAAACATTGGCAACTACTAGTTATTTCATGAACACTTGTCTACTTGGCTTTTTCCATTTCCGATTTCTAATAATTTTGTTCTATTCTTGTAGTACATCAGTTATGTGAGAAAAATAAGAATTGAAAGATTCTGGTGCAGAACTGAACTAATCTGTTTTCATAGCATAGCTGTAAATCCTACATCCCTTTTAGGAAGGTGTTTTTAAACAAAGGTGATCTTAAAAGGAAGAAAGAACTAAGATTAAGAAATGAGATGTGTATTCCTTTTTCATATGTATGTGTCAGATTTTTGTGACCTTGAATGAGTCAACTTTAAACTGGCACAATGCTGAAGAGAAAATACTTATTTTCTCTCAAGAGTGTTGTGAAGCTTAATCTTTGAAGTGTCTTGAGATTTTTTTTTTGGGGGGGGGGAAGCAATTTACGCAGAATCTTGAGGATAATTTCTGATGGTTTATGAGACTAATATATAATAGTCTAACTCTCTAGAGCGTACATAACCTCCTTATGAAATATTAAAATGAAATAGACTGGTACAAATTTCCAGCCACTAAAGACTTGCAGTTCACAGGCTATTTCTTTTCATTACCCTCACCAAGAAGCACATGGTTTTCCAATTGTGTGTTCCATTATAAGTTACCATGTCAACCCTTCAGAATGAAACAGGAGATTACAAAAAGAGGAGTTCCTTTTTGATCATGTTTTTTTGTTTCTAGAATGCACATCAGATTTCTACTTTAATCATGCTACGGATAAATAACTATCTTCCTTTAGGATAATTTAAAGGGAGCAGCTGCTTTTTAGTGTTTTAAGTGAATGTACTCTCTGTACTTTGGAGACCCAAAAGCTCTTTTTAGCAGTCTCTGCATTAACAAATTTGTAGTGCCCTGAAAAGCATCACCTTAAGAATGTGCAAGTCTTGTCTGCTTTGCTGCTGAGCAAATCTGTAATTTCAGATCATGGAAGGAGCAGCATGTTTCCAAGCCAACAAAGTGGGGGTTGTACATCAAACTGAATGGTTGTAACCTGGCTATTTGTCTGAGAAACAACTGCAAGGTGTTTAAATAATGTCAGGAGTAGCAAGAGGTGTTAGTATGGTGTTGCTGATATTGATGGAACTAATCAGGCAGTAAAAGCCTGAGGAAATCCCAAATGCATAGAGACAACGTGCTGCCTGCTTACCCAGCACAGTGGAGTGGGGATAAGTTGAAGCTTATAGAAGCTCACTGAAGCTCTGCCTGATGTGACACCTGAAGCTTGGGCAACTTTTACCACCAGGTTCAACTGAGCAGAATAGAACCACTTGAGAAAATGCAAATTGTTGTCAGAAAAGGTTTTTAGAGATGGGCATAGATGTTGGTCTCTCTTTCCCAAGTAACAAACAATAGGATGAGAGGAAGTGGCCTCAATTTTTGCCAGGGGAGGTTTAGATTAGATATTAGGAAAAACTTCTTCACTGAAAGGGTAGTCAAGCACTGGAACAGGCTGTCCAGGGAAGTGGTTGAGTCCCCATCCCTGGAGGTAATTAAAAGATGTGTAGATGCGGTGCTTAGGAACATGGTTTAGTGGTGGATTTGGCAGCGTTAAGTTTATGGTTGGACTCGATCTTAAAGATCTTTTCCAACCTAAATGATTCTATGATTCTGTTCTATCAGCTGTCTCAATTTCAGCTAAGGAAAGAAGGAGAAAGAGAGGACAGGTGTTTGCATTTCTGTATTTCATGCTGATGGGTGTATAGTGAGTAACTTGATAGGCTGGGTATCTTCTGTATCATCAGTCTTTAATAAAGGAGTTTTCTAATTCTATCACTGTATATAGAATGCCTCAAATAAGGTCATGGGTGCACCTCAAGTGCTTTAGTGGTGTAGGAGAGCAGACAAACGCAAGTAGTGTTTTGCAGTTAAGGTGCAGTAAATCATAACTGCCTCCCAAGTACAACACCGTTAGCAAAACCATAAGCTTGCCATTACAAGCATGGACTTGGGGCTACAGGCTAACAGAAATAAGAGCTAAAGATGTGGCTGATGGTGGAACAGGACAGGTTGGCCTTTTTTTTTGTCTGTGTTTCTAGTTTGCTTTAGACTAAGCTAATTAATACTTAGTAGCAGACCTGATTAGCTGTTACATTAGATCTGTCCTAAAGGCAGATGTTTGGCCCAGGTGGTATAGCTGCAGTGATACTTAAAAGGAATGTAGAAATCAGTAATGAGTCTTCACCTTTTAGCTTACTCTTCAGTTTTTAGCTGAAGACACAGCTTCAGTTCTCCTTTTGGCTGATACAGAAGTTAGTGACCTTTTGCTCACTCAGGTAGAACGATCTAGTAAATGCCAACTATGTAATTTGGGCTTATTAAAATCAGCACAGATTGAATAGTTAAGATTCAATAAATGAAAATGGGTGTTTAATGTCCTCATTGGACCTACCAAAGCATTTGACTACAAGAGTTGCTTTTAAGTCTCGTTATGAGCTCTAACTATTCTCATACTAGTTTGGTTCCGATCTGTTCTGTATAATACTGATTAGCAAGGGGGGATGCATTGCTGAACTGCTGTTTAGAATACACGTATTGTTGTTTGAAGACATACTTATGACATAAATTCTTAAAATGGAGATGTTTAGGTTGGTATTTTTTAAACCATGAGAACCATTTCTCTAACAGAATTACCAAAATATCTCCTGTTTATTCAAAACACTGTTTATATTCAGATCTGGTGATACACTGTTCTGAAGTTATCTGTGCTCTCTGAATGATGCTAAATTGTGTGCTGAACTCCTCAAGCAAAGTATTTGATCAAACTACCATAGATGTTATGTTTCAGTGTGTAAATGTAACTGGGTTGCTTGGGTTCGGGGTTTTTTGTTTGTTTTGGTTTGTGTGTATGTGTGTGTTGTTGGTTTTGGGGTTGGTTTTGTTTTCCTTCCCCAAGAAGTACTTCATGGAGACAAACTGGCTTAACCATGATATTGCATTTCTGATATCTTGTGATCCTATTGTGATCCTATTGGATCCTATTTCTGATGTCTTGTGATCCTATTGGATGATGCATGTGGAGTTGTTGGAAAGATTTTTGTTTTTTCTTAAAAACTATTTTGACAAACACATCAGCTAAGGTAATTAACATTACTCAGAGTAGTATATGAGACCATGGTTGGACAGAGGAATGTGGTATCTGCACCACTGGAATCTTGGCTGCTGGAGATTAATAGTGTTCATTAGTCTGAGGTGTTTTTAGGTTCTCTTTCCTGTCTAAGTATCTGATTGTGAAGTGTGATTCTTCTAGTGTAAAATGGGTTAGCATTAACCTAAGACTTTCCTGATTGCAGAAAGGCCTAAGGGTTCCGTAGAGGTTGGAGTAATAAGACTGTAGTACACTGTGTGGCTAGAGATTTGCTGTGGGAAATACCAATTGCCTGGATGCTTCTTTTCTTTGAGCCAGTTTTAAAAGTAAGAATGGAAGTCCCGTTTGCTTGACTGCCTTTAGAACTACAAGTTTGCTGCCTCCTTCAAGAGCAAGTCAGAAGAGGGGGTTTACCTGAATATAAGTAGCCTAGAATAGAAAGAAGATTCCCAGCTGTATAGTGTGGTTTCTGCTTTCTGAAGCAGTGCTGAGCAATGCTGTTCACAGGACTGGCTATTCAGAGCCATAAGTTGAAATAGGGGGAGAGCTGGGGGAGACATGCTAATGAAAACCTGCTGAACTGTTCAACATCTCATCCTGCCTGAATCTTTATATATTGATTTAATATTTCAATATTACTTTCTAATATTTATTTTAGGACAAGACCAGAGTTGTGTCTCCTATTATTGATGTAATTAATATGGACAACTTCCAGTACGTGGGGGCGTCAGCTGATTTAAAAGGCGGTATGTACCTGTACTGGAATACAAATTAAAAAAAAGCATCAAGAATCAAAGCTCATAATCACTGCAGTTGTAGAATGGGCAGTTAACATACTATTCTCCTCTTTCATATATCTAGTTTAAGTTCTATAGGTCAGTTGTTTCTACGCTTGGATTTTAATTGGCTTTATTGTCTTCTGCTTTAAAACAGTTCGTTTTTATTATACTAATTCCTATAAGTTTATGCTGCAATGTGCAGTACTCCAATGTTTGTAGGATTGTGTGAATGTGTCAGAAGCAGCTTATGGCCAGAGCTTATGATTCTCTTTTTAGATAAGATAGGCTTTAATTGCCCTCTAGCTTAGAAGCCCATCAGCAATGCAGTGCCTATGAGGTTTTTTCAAGATGCTGATTTGCTTAAAAAATTAAACTCTTCTGAATAAGCAGAAAGCTTTGGAATGTGTTTAAAAAATAAATGTTTCTGTTACCATGGTCTTTAATTGTGAAGAGAGTAACATGTGACCTTCAAAATTTCTAGTGTTTATACCTTTGCAGTTACAAAATTTCCTTTTAAATTGAGTTTACAAATACTACAGTTTCCCTATGTCTGGCTAATGTGAACTGTTGGCAGTAAATAGTAAAAAGACTTGTGAACCACTCAAAACATATATAAAAAAAAAAAAAATCCCCCCCTCTCCTTTTCCAAAGTGGGGAGGGCAACCATATACTAAATTCCTTACTCATTACAAGTTTTCAAAACTTTCTTCACTGTAAGCAAGAATCTGGCATTTAAAATAGTGGTTCTCTGCCCCCTTTCCCCCCACTTTTTTTTTTTAAAGTAATTGTTCCCACAACCCTGGAAACTGAACTGTCTGCACAAAGATATAAGATAAGCCACAATATAGAAATTACGCAGTGCTGTTCTCACAGTGTTTCAGCATTTTCTGAATGGACTTTGAGTAAGGAAGGAAAAAACAATTTCAAGCCTGTTCTGTCAGTTACTAGTTTTGAACTGGCCACCAAGTGTTGTTCCAGTAAATTAAAATAAAAGCAGTATTTGCATAGTGTCACACGTGCTTCAATCTCCAGTCAGTGATCTGGAGGTGAGAGGTTCTATATCCTTTTAATTAATGGTCTGAAATAACACAGTGCATGTATTCACAGTGCGCTAATGTATAGTTCTGTGCTATTATCTGTGTGCCAGCTTTATTAAAACCTTAAGGCTTTTACCCAATCTATTCATTATGCCTTGAGTATGGAAATCTCTATACCATTATGTGGCTTTTATTGTTGTCTGCAGTAGGAGGAGGAATTCTTTCATTGAAACCTTCGATTGGTTCCTGTGGGGTTCATGCTCTTTAATTCTTCCCAAGTGAAGTGGGAGAAGATTGAGAGATCATTTCACTTGTTACTGCTTTTCATGCCTCATCTTTGGAACTATGTTTCCCTATTTTCTCCCCCTATACACAATAGAATAGATTCTTTAAAGTGCATGGAGCTTCTGGACTGAGGAGTGAGAAGCTGTCTTTTTTTTTAATGTTAACAATAGAAATTTTGCACATACCAGTGTTTAAAGCTATTTGGGGGTCTGTTGAAATGTGAATAATATATTTCTTTTCACTTCCCAGAGGACAGATTACCATGTTAGAGGCATTTGGCATCACAGGACACTTTCACTGGGGCCAAGTCTAAACACGGAAACCAAACTATGCTTTCAACCTTAGATACAGTATCTGTGTGGCTGAAGCATGGAGAGTTGAGACAGCTGGGACAGCATTTGTGCCTGGTCTGTTTTGAAAGGACTTAATCACCCGAGACAAGCAACCTAGCAAATGCTACAAACTTTTTAAAGCTGACAGGGGTGAAATGATTCTCAAGTCTGGCCACTCCTAAATCCACGCACTTCGTGTTACAAATTTTTTTTTGAGAGGGGATTTGCAAAAGTGTTTATGCTGCCCTGAGAAACACTTTAATTACTGGGATAAACTGTGGTTAACTGAGATCTAATAATTCAGAGTATGCCTATGATGCAGTTTACACTGGATAGAATTTCATACTGGCTATGCACTTGTGTTTAAAAATACTCCTTTTGCAGTTACTGATATTATCTCATTGAGTGCAGATTTTTCCCAGAGTCAGTGAAAATGGAGACGGAAGACCGTTTTTTATGGGTAGACAATTTATACACTTGTTCCGAGTTCGTAACAGAGTGCTGTGTTCCAAAAGAGACCCCTTGTGTTCACTGAATATATGTAACTCTATCTCTACTACTTCTGCTGGAGAACAGTATGTTTTTTCAAGTTCTCCCAGATGCAAGTAATTTTGCTGGGCACATATGATGAAATGCAACTTTTTAACTGCATGGAAATATTGGAGGTCATTTTACTTTTCATGCTGGAGGTTTTGCAGTACTATAGATCGTAGCCATTTTACTGTTTTGCTACTTGGAGTTTTGGAATAGTTACATGGTCTTTCATTTTTACAGTGCAACACTTAATGAAATACTGAAATATGGAGAGAAAGAGTTGGCATGCATGCTGTAAAGACTGTTCAGGATAATTTCTGTATTGTGTGTGTGTGTGGGAAATATCTTGTGAGTTAAAATGAAAACTAAAGTTTTCAACTCTCTGCATCAATCATTACTATGCATGTTTATGGATGCAGGCAGACAGTTTGTAGGACTGTAATTGTTGTCTGTTTACCTTAGCTTTTTCCCCACTTCCCCACAAAGTAATGGCTTTATCTGTATGCTGGAGAAAGAAAACTGTTGACATCTGTGCACCAGAAATCTGGAAATCATTCATTACATGACCTCATAGGATCTAAATGTGTTTGGCAGCAGGCAGTCTGTCTAAGGCTGATTTGTTAGGTGTACTGGGAGAGGGCTATGGACCTTGTGTAGTTTTTTTTAATAAATGTTCATGCTTATGGGCATAACCCAGCTCAAAAACTGTTACGAAAGTGTTTCCTATAGGAAGTTTGTCTAATACCAGTGGTGTATCATTGCCTAAAGGAGGTAGTTCAAATGGTTGTTAGGTAGAAAGCTGCTGTAGGTGACCTATTGGTCTTGTCTATTCTAGTGATCTTTATGTGCTTCTGTGCTTAACTCACAAAAGGACCAGACCAGCTGTTGCTGCATGTACACACATATATGTACATACATAAGAGAAGTAAGATTTTGGTGCTCTAGTGCTTGCCTTGGGTTTAAAAAATGATGCACTTAAAAGCATACAGTGGGAAAGGCGGAAGTTAAATTAATGTTAATAAGTGGGAGCTACATAGCCTGTTGTGACCTGTATCTAAACATAAATATGTGATTGTTTGATAAGAGTTCAAATGCAATTGTACAGTAAAGACTGAGAGCATTTGTAACGGCTCGAAGATCTTCATATGATGTTCTATTTGATATAAGGATATGAGACGTTAGATTCTTATATAAGGCTTTTGCTTTGTCACTTGCTGACTGGGTTTCTTTGTGTAATAGATGGCAACAAGAGAAATCAAAGTTATTTTGGTTTTAAGATTAATTTTTTTATTGTCCTGTCAACTTCTTTAACTTTTATCTGGACTCCTACTTGTTTCTTTTCTACCCAGAAGTTTGTAGAAGTTTAAATTTTTAATTTAAATTGCAGTTCCCAGTACTTTCAGTCAACATTATATTTCTACAAGTTGAATGATGACCACAGTCTTTTTAACATCCTACTCTCTAATATTTTCTTCTTGAAGGCTTTGATTGGAACCTGGTGTTCAAGTGGGATTACATGACACCAGAGCAAAGAAGAGCACGGCAAGGAAATCCAGTTGCTCCCATAAAGTATGTCTGTACCACCACTTCTCCCTCTAATAGGTTGTAGTTCACAACCAACCAAAGTTAGAAATCATCTTCTCTGAGTCTGAAAGGGGATCTTTACTATAGCTTTCATTAATATTGAAACTTCATTCATATTTATGTAGCATTATGAGACTCTCAGAAATAAATTGTATTTTAAAAAATACTTTAAAGCACACCGGTAGATTATTTTACCCTTAACAAAAAGTAGATGTCACTTTGTTTAAAGTTGGTATGTTTTGAGGGCTAAATCTACAGCATCAGTAGCACAAGTTAGCACCCTTTACATAAGGAACTTGTGAGCCAAATGGAGATTTGGAAACTGCCTCAAAAGGTGGTCATGGCACTATATATGCCATAGAAATGTGCAGACAACATTTGAAGTGATAGTTGCAAAATTAGTTGCATTTGAAAGCATTGCAAGTTTTTTCAAGTTGATACTAATCTTGAGGTGCAAATAGTTACCTCCCAGGTCATGGTTCTGTAAGTAATTTAATTTTTTTGTCTGTTTAGGACACCCATGATAGCTGGTGGGTTATTTGTGATGGACAAATCCTATTTTGAAGAACTAGGGAAGTATGACATGATGATGGATGTTTGGGGTGGAGAAAACTTAGGTAAGTATATTATTTACCTTCAAATCAGTCTTTAAAGAAAGCAGGTTTGATCATTGCCTTTATTGTCATAGAGTCATGGTCTTCCTGATTTTGTGCAAAGAGGGTTCAAACTTCACATGCATTATTGGCAAAATCCAAAAGGTTTATTTCAATGAAAGAATTAAAACAAGGTAGGAATTATATGCTAAATGTGAGAGAATAAAAGTGTTTTTTAAGCAGTGAAATTTTTTTTGTAATGGAAGTTGTCTACATCCTGTAATTTTTTATTTTATCAGGCAGGAAATTACTTTCAAAAATGCTACCTTGTTTGAAAGTCACATCCTCATCTAAAGTTATTGATTAAAATACAGTAACGTTTAAATGCTGGCAATTTAAGGTATGTTTTAAGATACTGCTGAAATTTAATCGTGAAAAGTAGAACATAGGAGTTCATGAATTTAATATTCTTACGTACATCTTAAGAAATCAATTAAAACTTAGCTGACTGAAGAATAATCTTTCTTAACATTAATAATTCTATACTGCCTGGCATCTAAACTTAGTGAGTTTTTTAATTTTATACGCCTACTTCACCCCTATGAGATAATTATGGTTGAGAAGGTATTTTTCCTGTAATTCCTTATTTTCAGATGTTTGGGATTTAGAGAAGAGGGAGGAGGAGCTGTGAGAGAACTTGTGCTTTAGCCATTTCTTCTTTGACCTGGTGGTTAGATCTGGCTTTAGTAGGCTTTTTTGGCTCTTTGCACTACAGTATTGTACAAAGTTTTTTCTCCAGTTAAGACGTATATACTTGTGTTAAAGCAAAAAAGGTTTGGGAGGAGCAGAACTCTACAACTTCTCAAGACTTCCATTCTGTCATTAATTTAGTTTTTTAGGGTAGAGATGCATCTCAGACATTAAGTTGTGTGGTTTAGGAGCAGTTCTAAGGATAGAAACTTCTCTACTGCACGTGCTAGCTGCAAAATCCTGAAATACCTCGAACTTGTAAAAACCAATGGGTATTTTGAGTTACTGAAATATGCATATGCATTGAGCATATGCTTGGCCTACAAGGAAATGTCTGCTGTATACAGCACACTAAGTATGGAGATATGGTAACCAAATGTTTAACACTCTTGTGAGGAACTTAAAGGCTGGAAGAGGCATCCTTACAGTCCAGTCTCTGACTTTCCTATGCAATACTCGAAGAAACCTCTCATGCATTTTGAACAATTACTTTCTGTGTTTCTGTTTTCTCACTATTTTGGCTTTATATTGCTAAATTTTATTAACGTGTATCAAAATTTTTCATGTTTTTAAAATGTCCTGGAAAGTCATTGGATAAACTTACTACGGCAATACTTGCATTCACTCTGAAAACCTGTTTTGCCACTAGAGCACTTAAATATTTGATTAGCTGCAAGCATGTACTTGAGCGACAGAGTTTTTTTCTGAAAATTCAGCAGCTACTTTTATGCTCTGATAATTGAGGCTTTGATAGCAGGAAAGGCACAAGCAACAGCTCCTTCCTCAAGGTGAGAAGACTGTATGCAAAAAGCTGTTAGTGTTGCTCCTGCTGCACTCTCTTCCCCCTCCTCCACAGGAAGGAGGAGATGGAGATTTTGGGGTGCTTTTTCTCTGTCCCCTGAAAAGGCAAAGTCAACCACTACAGCAGACAGCTAATGATTTGTTCATAGCTGCCAGACTAACTGAAGATGAGTAAAAATCACATGGCATATGATTTAATTGGCAATAAATGACAAAGATACCAGAAATCTCTGATGTGCAGTTTAAAATTCAACATGCACACTCATCAGGCCTCTCTACTCTCAAGCATATCTCTGGATCAGCAGCTTGATAATCTGTTAGATGGACTTGCAAAATAATGCTATACATTACATTTATGCTTTATAAAATGTAGCATTTTTCCTTCAAGCATGTACAGAGCAGCTGTTATATGAGATTTTGTTCACGTGTGTTTTGCCTAAATTAGCTGAGACAGCTCTTACTATGAAGATACGGTGCATTTTGAGATTGTTGCTAAACGTGACTGATAACGCGTGCTTGCTGTACAAAATGTGGATCAAGGTTTGTTCAGTCTTGTCTTGAATTCGTAAACTCTAATTCTCAGAATCTTTACAATGCCTTTTGATAAGCATAGGAGGATCAGAGTACACTGGAGAACTGGATGGACCATTACAAGGTTTGGGTCTAATTTGAAAGCCTAGGCTTTTAAAAATAATTTTGTTAAAATCGGGGAGCGAGTAAGACGTTGTGGGGGTTTTTTAAGTTTTAGTTGCTGTATATTCCTTTTTTTTCTGGATTTTTAAAAAATCCACACAGCCTTTAGAAGCCATGTTGGTGCAAATAAGAATTAGTTTTCTTCTCCCTATTTACTAGTCCTTTGCTGTCTTTCCCATAGAGCTATTTTTCATCATTTTCACTTTTTTTTGAGGTTCTTCAGAATCTAAGGTGCTGGAAAGTATACATGTAGGTTTACATTTCTGGGAATTTATGGAGGGAGAATTAATCAAACTAATGTACACAGTAGAGGAAGCTATGAATAATGAAAAAAGTTGACACAAGGTATTTCTAAATTACTTTTAAAAAACAAAAATACTTTTTCAATGCCTACACACATTCAATAGATGACAGTGACTTTTTGGATTAAATCTTCAAATGAATCACTTTAAAAAAAAAAAAAAAAAAAAAAACCAAAACCCAAAAACTGCATTGACCTTTATTTTTAACCAGAATCTCTCACTTTACCTCATTTCAGAGGTGTGTATTTCCTAAAAACTTATTTAAGTCTAATACTAGATTTCAAGCATTTAGTCTGCACTTGCTTGTCAACGCAAAAGCCTTTATCTCTGATCAGATCGCCCTATCTTCTTTCACTAGGCTGTCCTCACTGAGCACAGCATCCCCTCGCATTGGGCTAATACCTATATGAACTTTCTAGCAAAACTCCATAAATAATGCTTCAAAGTGGTACAAGAAAGCTATTACTCCTCTGCTTTCTCAATTTGAGCAGTATGGGACTAAATTTGAGCTAGATATGGGAGGGCCTGAAGTCTTCTATCTATGTGCAATTTTTTCTGGTAGAAACATGGAAGTGCTTTAGTTACTAAGTTGTTTAGTAGAAGCAGTGACCAGTTGTTTACTGTGATTCTATTTTTTTTTTATTATTATTCTAAGCTCAAAATTAGAGGTGTAAGACTGAAGTCAGTGTTGTGAAAAATGTACAGAGAGAATGTTATGTTCAGTTGATTTAAAAATCACTTTTGCCTATTGTCCCATGTTAATTCAACTGGAAAATCAAGACTATAAGTTACTGGCAAAGACAATATTGTCATTAATATTTCTGGAGGATGATCTGTCTATAGATTGGACTATGTGGACTGTCTAGGATTCATGAATATGCCTAATTGGCCCTGATACAAAAGAATTTATCACTGAAGCAATGCAAATAGGAAATGATCCTTGTAAAAGCAAAGACCATTCAGAAGAAAGGCAGTTAACTTGCACTGTCAGCAGTTGAAATCACAGCACCTCTCTTCCCCCCACTGCTCCTTTTCCCCCTTTTTCTCTGGAAGGACCATCAAGAAGACATGCTCTCTAAGCTTTGGTGGTTTTGTTTTTGTTTTGGGTTTTTTTTCCCCCAAATTTAATTTTTGAAGTAATGCTATTTTTATGGCTTATTTTGTGTATGTGGGAGGAAGGCTTCTGGAGGAAGGAATGGCACTTAGTGTAAGTCATAAAAGGTAGACACTGACTTTAAATTAGAGATTGTTATTATTATTACTTTAATCTGTGTAAAGATACTGAATGATTATGAAGAGGCTTGAAACTAAGGGTAGCACTCAGTAACTGGTAGCAGGTACTGGACTAAAGGGGGAAACATCAAAATTGAAACAGTGCTACTGGAAGCACCCTTCTTACTGCGCTTATTTGGAATGAATGAGGAAAACTTTGTCAGCACTAGGTGACTTCTGCTGTCAAAGGTCTAAGGTAAGAACGGTGTCTAAATATTTCTGGACCTTCTTGTCCTCACTAGCTGGGTCAGCTCACTAGATCAGCTTAGAAGTGTACTGTCCATAACACTCAGTTTACAGAAGTTGCATCTTTATTCAGTCTGTCTTCAAGTCAAGATTGACTTGATATAACTCCTTCCATGGTGAGTGTTTGGTTATCTGCTATAGTAAGTTAGCAGCTCGAATCTATTGATTGTTTTATCATGCCTTGATTTTGTCCACTGTGTTACTCCATCTTTAGCTGAAAAATTTTATTGTAAGCTAGGTCATTAATTTATCTGTGAAGTGTATCAACTGTTGCTTACCCTTTATCTAAAGTACAGTAATGGTACATATAGACCTAACTTACTCTGGCAAATTGCAGCATGGCTTATGAATTAGGGGAATGCTAGTAACCTCAGATAAGAGAAGACATAGAGTTTTGTTTCCAACTTAATATGATTATTTCTCTTGAGCTTGGAGAATAATACATGCTCAGATATGCCTTTGTTTATGCAGGAATTTCTCAGGAAACTCTCTTATTGATCTTCTCAGTGATAGTCAATAAAAGCCTTCTCTGTAAATAGTATACTACAAAATTACAGTATTTTGTGATGTCGGTCTTTCATGGTTTTATTTCAGAGATCTCATTCAGAGTTTGGCAATGCGGTGGGAGTCTAGAAATCATCCCTTGCAGCAGAGTGGGTCATGTATTCCGCAAACAGCATCCCTACACATTTCCCGGTGGGAGTGGTACTGTGTTTGCAAGGTAACTGTTAAGCCAAGTCTTCAGCTGAATAGGAATGTTTTGGATTTCTTCAGATGATCAGCAGGTGGCAGTAATTTCATTTTAAGGATCTTTTCTTTAGAAGTATTTGCATTATCTAGCATGGAAACATATTAATTAAAAGGAAATTAATGACTTTGAGGCAACTACACAGATTGAGAGAAGAACCTGTTGGAAAAGGAAAACTTCTAGTAGACACAGCCTGAGAACCTGGAAAAGAAGGAAGTGCTTAGCTTGGCATTCTATCAATTTTGAGAACTTTGTGTTTATTTGGTTTTAAAGAAGGCTTTATTTTCAGAACTATCTCAAATCTTCATTTTATAGAAACAGTTTCATCATTCACTAAGAGCCAGAATACACTTAAGTTATGAATATGCTTTGCTTACTTTTTGTTAATATATGATTGGTATGTGATACACAAATGATTATGTAGACTGATTCTGGCATTTGTGCCAGTCTGGCAACTTCGTTCTATATCATATTTGCCTTTCCTGTGCTATGTTTAAAAATACTTTTTCTATAGACCTAAGAAACTGCAGTATTAAGGGCTTAGATTAATATGCCAGTTAATTTTGCTGTTGATTCAGTATATGGTGGTAGCTGAAATACTGAGCTATTTCCTCAGTTTCTCCTCTGTAGAACGAGAATAGCAATTCTGATTCATATTCATAGTGGTTTTTAAGTAACGTGGATGAACGTATTGCATGAGTGTGCGGTAGATGTTTTGACCAATGCTCTATCAGTTGTAGCTGAAGAATCACTGTAAGTTTTGGTTTAGAGAACTGGACTTAGTGCTCAGGGGGCTGAAGAAGTACAAGTCTCAGATAAAGGTTCTGTGGATTAAGAGCTGCAAATAAAATTGGTTATTTATCCTTGAAGGGGTGTGGAGTCCAAACTCTGTTTAACATGAAGCAACACAGAGAGCACAGACGTACTTAAATTCGTAAGAATGCCCTAAGCTGCCGATATATTTGGACTTGTGTTTCACTTTAGATTGAGGAACCTCCTTAGGGGTATAATTCTTCTCTTCCACACTGGTTATGCCACCAAAATGACTCTAATGAATTTAATAGCCTGCTAAAATAAAGTTGCTGTCCTGTTTCTTCCAGTAGTTATAGCAGGGATTTTTCTGGTCCCCTATTCTTTGAGATCTTTATTCTATTCTACAGTGAAAAATGAGTAATAGTACTTATGGGAAAACAAAAGCTAGCAATGAAATATCTTAATACATCACATCTCTATTCCAGTATTTATAGTGTGCATCAGGGTATACCAATTAAACTGTATTACGCAGGCTTAGGATGCAACTGTTTTACTTTCACGGTAGGTTTAAAGTGACAATGTCATAACAAGGAGTATGGTTAATTAAAATAAATATATAAATTGTGCAGTTTTTCCATTCCTCTGCAGCTGTTCTATTTTTGGGCTGTTGCCAAGATGCTGCTTTTCTTGTGGTGTTAAATAAGTACTTAAACATAGCTCAACTGAAAAGTAGGAAGAAGGTGTGGCTGTATGCATGCAAGGATACAGAAGACATCAGAAATGCATCATATTAGCAGGGGGTTGAAGATTCTGTGTTCATACTGGGATCAAAGCTTTTGGATTTTGTTGTGAAGTCAAATAATGGTTTTGATTTGATCATTCAAATGTCCTGACAATTACTATGACAGGGTTTTTTTACAGTCTCATTGTGTTTTCCAGTCATTTGTGTTCAAAATCTCTTTGAAAGGAGATCCCATGTGTACTTGAATGGTGAGGATAGCTGAAGCCTGCAAACTAGTGTCTTGGGTACTTGCATCCCTTTCCAGATCTACCTTTCTCTGCAAGTGGTTTATTACCTTTGTCCTTAGCTGTCCAATGGTCTCAAATTCTGAAATGTCCTTAAAATTCTTCGTTTCATTGGAATTATTTTTTAATTGGCCTTGAAAAGTTGCATATTGCATAAAAGCTGAGTTGCCAAGTTGCTGTATATTTGAAGGTTTCTTCCTCAGTCAGCTTTCTTGGGTGTCAAACCAATATAACAATGCCTTAAAATCAGTCTTAGCAATGACAGAATGAGAAACCTAAGGTAATGGGATACCCTTGTAGTACAGGTATTATCAGATATGTATAGGACCATGGTGCCAAGAAACTTGGTGCATGGAATCTGTGCTCATCTTGCAGTTGGGACTTGTTAGCTTATACCATCACCTGTCCCTTGGCTGTATGCAATTTGTTCTGGAGTGCTCTGGGTAAGTGTCGTATTTTTAGCTGACTAGTCAGTATGCACGGCCTTTTGGCAGCCAAAACAAGTTGGTGATAAGAGACCAGGTGTCTGGTTTCATGAGAGGGGAGACCACATCCTGGCTGTGTGGTGTGGGCAGATACGGCTTGCATCTGGCAGGATTTATTAGACCAGTATGCACTGCCTTAATACATTATTTCAGACGAGCTAATAAACCCTGCAGGCCCCAGCCTGCTCCATGCAAAGCTACCTCTGATCGCTCAGTGCTAGGTTTCCTTAACTGTGGCTCAGCATTAAGTGCTGAGTGCACCCTATGCTGTGTTTCTCAGTACCCTGCCTTCTTTGGGGTCTTGTTAGTTTAGGCAGTTCTCAACATCTGCACAGTTTCCATATTTGTGTTGCACTAAGCCTGAACTGTTCATCCCTGAGTATGGGGAAGCATGATGCAGGCATGTATTCTGCCTTTGGAGTCGTTAAACCCTGGCAAACCGAATAGTTCCTCTCCCACCACCAAAACCTGTTTGGCCTCCTATGGGCAGCCAAGTTGATCGCTGGGCAAGCAACAGGGGCAGGTGCTGAGTGGCTGGCTGACACTCACACAGGCCTGAGAGACTGCAAGTGAAGATAAATTGGAATAGCTCTCTAATCTGGATTGAATGGGATTTTGCTTACAAAAAATTTAAAGGAATCTTTGCAAGTAAAAATCAGTCCTCAAAAAATGATTGAGGTCTGTCTTGTGACTTTTTTCTTCCTCGTGTCCTTCCTTCTCAGGGACCTGCAAGAACTCCTCACTTTATTGTGACTATTTTTTGTCTTTTGAATTGGAAAAATCATATTAAAAAAGTTATTGGCTGGCTGAGTTTACTCCAGTTGCTTCAGATGAACTTAGTGCCAAATGTAAAATAAGCTTCAGAGCATGGCAGTTGCAAGTGAAGCAAGACTTAATTTTCTGAGCATAAAATTACAAACAATAGAAGTAAATGAGTTTTACATGGAAGCCAGGGAATGGAAAAAGACATTACCCTCTTGCAGTCCAAAATTAAAGACACAGCTACATAAACACAGAAATTTTAGTTAGAGATGTGTTTGATTAGAAGTAAAGAATTTGGGTTAGTGTTTTTCACATTTATTGCAATAATTAATCTCTCTTGAATTTTCAAGCATTAAAAATATTTTCTAATTTACTGGTTTTCTTCTGTTACTTCAGCTACAGCAGACTCACTTGGTTCATAGCCTTAAATGTCATGACAGCTTATGTCTTTTTGGAAATTTGAGAGCTCTGTTGGTAGGAATAGGATGAAGACTGAAAATATGTCTTGCCCATGTTAGCATATCTGTTTTCAGAAGGGTAAAAGATATTATTAAATACTGCTAATTGTTGAGATTTTTGTTTCCAATTAGCTTGCTTACCCAGGTGAACACTCACTGAATTTGACTTCTGTCAAGTTGTTTTTTTTTTAAAAATAAAAGTAAACCAGCAACAAC